AGTCCACAAACCTCTGTCTGTGACGGAGCCCTCAGACATGGCTCCTCTAGTCACTAGCAGATTCCGACAGTGGTTGCTTTCGTAATCGCTTCCAACATAAAAGCTCCTTAACGGAAACACGTCTTCTGGAATCTCTGCGTGACAGTTTCCGGCGAGGAGTGGGTGTTCTTACAGGAGGTCCTGAAACCTCCCCACTGTTTTCGCTGGAAGTGTCTCTGAGCCATCCCTCCAGCTCAGCTCCTCCCCCTGCTGGTTCCCTCTTCAGCTGCTGCGTCTCTCCCAACCTGTGTGAGCCCTTTCACCTCCCTGCTGGTTCCCCTTCAGCTGCTGCGTCTCTCCCAACCTGTGTGAGCCCTTTCACCTCCCTTCCGTCCGATGGCAGTTCCCTGACATCCACCTCCCCTCCAGGGCCCCCTTCACCCCCTCTCGCCCCCTCCTCTACGGGCGGTGAGGAGGCAAAACCCCGGAATGAACTTCCTTCATCTTCCGATGTCTCGAACACTTCTCTCAACCTGTTGCGGTTCCTGGTCTCAAGTACACCTCCTCCTCAGAGTCCATCTCCCTTCCCCTTCCGAGTCCGGGAATCCTTCCAACTCCTCCCCTTCATCAGTGGTCCCAAAGTATTCCTCCGGAACCTCTCCACAGGCTGAGGTTTCCTTGGGAACCTTTGATGGAACGTTTCTATCAATACCTCGTCATTGATATCTTCGGCCATTACCCAAGTGTTTTCTGACTCCGGTTCTCCTTCCCACGCTACCAAATACTCCACCTGATCCCCCTTCCACCTGGCGTCGAGGATTTCTGCCACATGGCTGCTGCATTCTCTTTCTTCTACGACCGGTCCCCGAGTGGCCAGCCCTTCTCGTCCCCCTTCGTACGGTGACAGTAACGACCTGTGAAATACTGGGTGCAGTTTCATGTGGTTGGGTAACCGGAGCCTGAAAGCCACTGGGTTGACCTGTTGAATGACCTCAAAGGGACCCAACCTCCTGGGTCTTAATTTCTTACAACCTCCTTTGAACGGCAACCCTTGGGTTGACAGCCACACCCTATCTCCCACCCTTATGGTTTCACCTTCCCTTCGGTTCTTGTCTGCCTGCCTCTTGTATTCTTCCTTCGCCCTTTCTAAGTTGAGTTGGAGCTGACGATGGATTGCTTCCATTTCTTCCACAAAATGCTCGGCTGCCGGGACGCTCCATCTCTCCCCATCTCCCCCGGGAAAGCCCTGGGATGACACCCATAATTAGCCAAGAAGGGGCTCATCCCTGTGGACACATTCTCGGCATTGTTGTAGGCAAATTCCGCCAGCGCCAACTTTTCTACCCAGTCATTCTCTCTGTCATTGACATAACACCTCAGGTATTGCTGGAGGACACCGTTTGCTCTTTCCGCCTGCCCGTTGGTTTCAGGGTGCCGGGCAGTCGAAAAATTGACCTCCACCTGCAGTAAGCTCATGAGCTTCCTCCAGAACCTGGAAGTAAATTGTTTTCCTCGGTCTGAGACCACCCTCAATGGCACCCCGTGCAACCTAAAAATGTGTTCTACAAATAACTTCGCTGTCTCTTCCGCCGTGACTGCATGCGAGCAAGCTACAAAGTGGCACATCTTTGTTAGTAGGTCTACCACCACCATGATGGCTGTTTTCCCTTTGGACTTCGGCAGATCAGTCATAAAATCTATCGACACTGCCTCCCAAGGTCGTTCTGGGGTTGGTAAGGGTTCTAATAGCCCCGCCGGCGCCCGCCTTTCCCTTTGGCTCGCTGGCATTGCTCGCACCCTCTTACATACTCACGTACATCTTCCCTCACCTTAGGCCACCAAAATTCCCTGGTGACCAACCACATGGTTTTGTGTTGTCCAAAATGCCCCGCCGTAGGGCTGTCGTGCAACTGCTTGAGTACCCCCCCCTTAACTCTCCTTCAGGGATATACAGTGCCCCTTTGTATTACAAAGCTCCATTTCTTTCCTCGAAACCTCCTGGTTCCTCTCCCTCACCCCTAAGACCTCTGAGCTTATTCTGGGCGTATTCATCATTCTCTGTTTCCTCTACCAGTTCTCTTTGTCCCACCAATGCCGCCCCACACACC